ACAGAAACCTTGCTTATCTCCAGAGATCCTGGTTTTCTCTGATTAAAAAAAAAATCCCCAATTTTTGGATTAAAAAAGTAACCCAAAATCCACCTTTTCCTGTGATTAAAATGAAATGTCACTAATACATAGATACATATATAGTGGTGTTTCATTTTAATCATGGAAAAATATGATTTTCGGGTTACTTTTTTAAATCTGAAAATTGGGATTTATTATCAGAGAAAACCAGGATCTCTGCTTATCTGAAAGACTGCATGGTAATGCTAAAAGTCAGCTGATGCTATCTATCTTGAAGGATGTACAATTGCGTGTTTTTTCTCATTCAGGATGCATATGATGCCTAACTAATAATTCAGGCTTCCTTTTGTGAGGATGGGGTTATTTGAGCACAAGCCAGCTTCTTTTGCTTTTGAGTTTTCCTTAGCAGGCAGTCAATCTAATATTAAATCTACAAAGTGCTTATATTTACACATTGTTCCTTGAGCCTGCAATAGATGATGTGCCTGTAGCATGATACTAGGTGAGGCTTGGCTTTTGCTGCTGTTATGGAGGGGTTGGTTTTATCTTTTTGCAGATAAAATTGAGTGTTTTCTGATTTAAGTTTTTGAAACCTATGCCTTGCACTGCAGCCTATGTTTCAGTTTTCAGCTCAGTTAGGAGCTATGCAGCACCTGAAGGACCAATTGGAGCAAAGAACGCGAATGATAGAGGCAAATATTCATCGACAGCAAGAAGAGTTGCGGAAGATTCAAGAACAGCTTCAACTGGTCCATGGTCAAGGACTTCAGGTGGGTTACGGTTTAGTTAAACATAGACCCTGAGTGAAACTCAGGCAGTTCTTAAGCATCTATGTTACAGAGTTATATCCTCAAAATCCTTATTCAGTTACTGTCTAAACTTGGAGATGCCCAACTTGGTAGGCAGTGAAACTTTTAACATTAAATTTCCCCATGGGAGGCTCTTCCTGTAGCACTTAGGTCTGGAAAAAGCTAAAATACTAAAGCCCTGGAAATGGGTAGGACTTACTAGGCACTCATGTCCTTGGCATTTACTTCTGGCTTCTCTCCAGTTAGGGATGTTGCCTCTTGTGAATACCATTTTGGGAGGCCTAACTTTTTCCATGTATGAGTTTAGGAAACAACATGTCTAAAGCTATGTCTATGCCTTGGGGGATGCTGCTGTTTTAACTAAGGGCATTTTTACATGTGCTCTAGGTTTTGGGGAGGGAGGAACACTCTAATTAACATACCTGGAGGGTCTCATGCATCAGTGTTTCCATGCTTCAAAATAAGCAGCAGAAGCACTTTATCTAAGGCTCATCAAACGAGCTTTAGTTAAAGCACCCCTGCTGCCATTTTGAAGCATGGGGATGCTGATACACAAGACGTGGAGGCTGGCTTGAGCGTAGTAATTGCCATGCTCCATCAGACTTGATTAATTGAATCTGCTCCAATGCACTGTAATTATAGCGCATTGGAGCAGCCTCCAGGCTCTTGTACAGGCAGCCCAAGACAGCTGGAGCCCCGGGCATAGAAGCAAGCAGAGTTATTCTCATATGAGGATTTTGCTAGGAAAGCTTATATCAGCTACAGGGTACTACCTTTTCATACCATTAGCCAGCAGTCCTGCAGGCAGAGCTTTGTAATGTAGTTAAGTTCTGTGGACTCTACTGCAGAGGCCAAGCACCTAAAAGCTAAGCACTTTGACATTGAGTGCCGTATCATTTGAGATCCCTTTGTGGATGTAGGCCTATTCTTTTACCTAGTGGGTGCATCTACATGAGATGCTTTACTACACAGCAGACTCATATTCTGCGCAGTAAAGCATTGCCATCTATACGTGCATGGCAGTTAGGGCACAGTAGACTAATGTACTGTGCTGCTGGATAGTTGCATTAGATACATGTGGTATCTGACAGTGCAGTAAATTACTGTACTTAAATGCACATGTAGACAGTGACATTAGGATTTGTTTACTCTGGCTCAGATTGAGCTGAAGTATATTCAGTCACATTAATTGTGTATGTAGACACTGGGGGTGCACCAATACATTGGTCTGATATCAGATTGGTACCGATATAAAGAAAATTGTCTATGTCGGATATCAGCCTCACGGGGCTGATAATTTGGCCAATAAATGTCCGTGCTGCACACAGCCTCAGCACAGCACTCAAGCAGCAAGGAGCACAGCCCGGCAATGTGGAGAGCTGCCTCCAGCTGGTAAGTCGGAAGGGGAAGGGGCATGGGGGGTGCAAATCAGTGCCCCCCCCCCATGGTGAGGGAGGGGATAGGCACTGCCCAGACGGGGGAGGGGGCCCGCGGGATGGAGTCATGACTTGGGTGGGGGCAGCTCCCACTGCTGCTTGGGTGCAGTCAGCCCCCGCGATGCAGGGCTGACTCCAGGCCCCACCTCCACGCAAGCACTGGAAAAAGCTGTGGCTGCACTGGGTGGTGGTGGGCCTGGGAGCAGAGCTGTGGCAAAATTTTGGGTGGCTGCATCATCCTCCCAGCACCAAAGGAGCCTGCTCCAAGTCCATCCCTTGGGGAGAAGAGCCCTGCACAGTGCCAGCTCCAGCTCCAGCTCCACCACGCAGCTGCAGCCTGCCCCACACTGCGCAGATCCAGGGGTGCATACCCCCTGCCCTCCCAGGGTGCAAGCAGCAGTGGGAGCTGCCCCCACTCCATGAGCCGTGCCTTGGTCCCATGCCCCTCCCCCCATCCTGGCTGGGCAGTGCCTGCCTCTGCACCCTCCCTCACCATGTGGGAGGAGGGGCTATAATATGCCCCGCCATGACCCTTCCACCCCACTGGACTTACCAGCTGGAGACAGCTGTATTGGATATTGGATTGGTATCAGCCAGTATGCCTCCTTAAGTATTCGCTATCAGTATCGACCCCCAAAATCTCTATCAATGCACCCCAGTAGACACTCCCAATGATGCCAAAATATAAGTGAATTCTATCAGTTTCATCAAAACTGGGTAGTATCTGGAAAACCCTTCTTTATAGATTTTTTGCCCAATTTTGCCAATTTATAGGGAATCAGTTGTCCTTTCTATGTACAGAACTGGTAGAGCCAAATACTATAGTTTTATTTCCATTGTTTGTCTTTATTTCACTAAACTACTAGAGATACTAGGAACAGAAGAGTCAGCAATAGTTCAATGTCTACTTGGGAGGAGGTATTAAGTGGGACTCCATAGGAGTCTGTTCTGGGTCCAGTTTTGGTTAATATCTTCATTAACGATTAGATGATGGGACTGAGTGCACACTTAGCAAATTTGTGGACATCATCAAGTTGGGTGGAGTGGCAGACACTCTGGAGAGCAGGGCTAGGATGCAGAATGACTTGAATAGACTGGAAAAAAGGTCTGCAATCAGTGAGATTAAATTCAAAAGGACAAGTACAAAGTCTTGCACTTGGGACAGAATAATTGCATGCACAAGTACAAACTGGAGTATGACTGGCTAGGGTGCAGTATTGCAAAAAAGGACCTGGGTTTATAGTAGACCAGGGGTTCCCAGACTGTGGTACACATACCTGTAGGGATACACAAGTCATCTTTGGGTGGTATGCGAGAGAAATTGTGTAATGGAAGATTTAATTTTCATTATAATAATAATTGCCATCTAAGGGGTTAAAATATAAAACATAGGCTGGTAGGCGTACGCAGGCAGCTGGTAAATCTGGAAGAGGGTATGCAATGAGAAAAAGTTTGGAAACCTCTGTAGTATACCGTAAGCTGAATATGAGCTGACAATCAGCGTGCTGCTTTTGCAAAAAAAAAAAGCCAATAACATACTGGATTGTATTAACAGGAGTGTTGCATGCAGATCAAGGCATGTGATTCTTCTGCTCTGTTCAGCACTGATGAGGCCTTACCTGGAGTATCGTGTCTAGTTTTGGGCCCCCTACTTCAAGAAAGATATGGACAGATTGGAAAGAGTCTAATGCACAGCAAAAAAAACCCCACAATTAGAATCCTGGGGAGACCTAGTCAGGGAACTTCTAGAGGGGCTGGATGTGTTTAAATCAGCAGGCCCAGATGATCTCCACCTCAGGGTGCTGAGGGAATTGGGAGGGTCATTGCAGGGCTCCTAGTGCGGCTTTACGAGCACTCGTGGTGCTCTGGCCAGGTGCTGGACTGGAAAAAGGCTAATATAGTCTCCATTTTCAAAAAAGGGAGGAAAGAGGACCCAGGTAACTGTAGGCCCGTTAGTCTTACCTCGGTCCTGGGGAAGTTCTTTGAGAAAATTATCCAGGAGCACATCTGCGAGGGACCAGCAGGGGAGAGTATGCTCAGGGGCAACCAACTTGGGTTCATTAGGGACAGGTCCTGTCAGACCAACCTGGTGGCCTTTTACGATCAGGCCACAAAATCCTTGGACGCAGGTGTCACGGTGGACGTAGTCTTTCTGGACTTTAGGAAGGCCTTTGACACTGTCTCTGACCCCATTCTCATTAAAAAAAACTAGGAGACTGGTGTTGATGCCTACACAGTCAGATGGGTCGCAAATTGGCTAGAGGGCCACACCTAGAGAGTGGTGGTGGACGGGTCATTTTCGACTTGGGAGCTGTGGGCAGTGGAGTCCCTCAGGGCTCAGTCCTTGGTGTTCAACATCTTTATCAGCAACTTGAACAAGGGGGTGAAAAGAACCTTGTTCAAATTCTCGGACGACACTAAGGTGGGAGAGGTGGGCATGCTAGAAGGGAGAGACAGGCTACAACTAGATCTGGACAGGTTACAGGGGTGGGCAGATGAGAATAGGATGGGATTCAATACTG